AAGCCGTAAACTTTTGCATAGCGAAGTAGATTCACTGCCATTGAAAAGGGGTGCATGGCGGTGGTGTGGGCCCTCAAAAAGCTGCAACCTACTTGTATGGACAACCGTTTACCTTACTCACAGATCACAACAAATTTGGGGCACTGCTCGTGCAATCTAATGTGCCACCAGATAGGAGTGGTGTGTTTAGTACTATTGTTATCAGTTTAATCACTGTTACGCCCCCTATCCGTTGATGTGGAGCAAGGCAGCAGCATGAAGAGGACTCAGCAGGAGGTTATGGAAGAGGATGGAGTAGGAGGGTAGAGGAGGTGGCGTACTGTATGATGCAAGCTGTGGGGCTGACTTACACCTGCTTGAAGATAACTAACTGCTATTCAATCTATAACAGTGAAAAAAGTTTTTTGTTTTTAAATCCAAGCTATTGTGACACCAGATATAAGTGGTGGCACTGGTCACCGTATCCACTGTTAGCGTAACACACCTGCTTGAAGATAACTAACTGCTATTCAATCTATAACAGTGAAAAAAGTTTTTGTGACACCAGATATAAGGACACTGACTGCTATTCAATCTATAACAGTGAAAAAAGTGTTTTTTTTTTTAAATCCAAGCTATTGTGACACCAGATATAAGTGGTGGCACTGGTCACCGTATCCACTGTTAGCGTAACACACCCGCTTTAAGGACACTGACTGCTATTCAATCTATAACAGTGAAAAAAGTTTTTTGTTTTTAAATCCAAGCTATTGTGACACCAGATATAAGTGGTGGCACTGGTCACCGTATCCACTGTTAGCGTAACACACCCGCTTTAAGGACACTGACTGCTATTCAATCTAAACAGTGAAAAAAGTTTTTTGTTTTTAAATTTAAGCTATTGTGTCACCAGATCTAAGTGGTGGCACTGGTCACCGTATCCACTGTTAGCGTAACACACCCGCTTTAAGGACACTGACTGCTATTCAATCTATAACAGTGAAAAAAGTTTTTTGTTTTTAAATGCAAGCTATTGTGACACCAGATCTAAGTGGTGGCACTGGTCACCGTATCCACTGTTAGTGTAACACACCTGCTTGAAGATAACTAACTGACTGCTATTCAATCTATAACAGTGAAAAAAGTTTTTTGTTTTTAAATCCAAGCTATTGTGACACCAGATATAAGTGGTGGCACTGGTCACCGTATCCACTGTTAGCGTAACACACCCGCTTTAAGGACACTGACTGCTATCCAATCTAAACAGTGAAAAAAGTTTTTTGTTTTTAAATTTAAGCTATTGTGTCACCAGATCTAAGTGGTGGCACTGGTCACCGTATCCACTGTTAGCGTAACACACCAGCTTTAAGGACACTGACTGCTATTCAATCTATAACAGTGAAAAAAGTGTTTGTTTTTTTAAATCCAAGCTTTGTGTCACCAGATCTAAGTGGTGGCACTGGTCACCGTATCCACTGTTAGCGTAACACACCCGCTTTAAGGACACTATCTGCTATTCAATCTATAACAGTGAAAAAAGTGTTTTTTGTTTTTAAATCCAAGCTTTGTGTCACCAGATCTAAGTGGTGGCACTGGTCACCGTATCCACTGTTGGCGTAACACACCCGCTTTAAGGACACTGACTGCTATTCAATCTATAACAGTGAAAAAAGTTTTTTGTTTTTAAATCCAAGCTTTGTGTCACCAGATCTAAGTGGTGGCACTGGTCACCGTATCCACTGTTAGCGTAACACACCCGCTTTAAGGACACTGGCTGCTATTCAATCTATAACAGTGAAAAAAGTGTTTTTTTTTTTAAATCCAAGCTGTTGTGACACCAGATCTAATTGGTGGCACTGGTCACCGTATCCACTGTTAGCGTAACACACCCGCTTTAAGGACACTGACTGCTATTCAATCTATAACAGTGAAAAAAGTGTTTTGTTTTTTTAAATCCAAGCTTTGTGTCACCAGATCTAATTGGTGGCACTTGTCAGCGTATCCACTGTTAGCGTAACACACCCGCTTAAGGACACTGACTGCTATTCAATCTATAACAGTGAAAAAAGTTTTTTGTTTTTAAATCCAAGCTATTGTGACACCAGTCTAGTGGTGGCACTGGTCACCGTATCCACTGTTAGCGTAACACACCGCTTTAAGGACACTGACTGCTATTCAATCTATAACAGTGAAAAAAGTTTTTTGTTTTTAAATCCAAGCTATTGTGACACCAGATATAAGTGGTGGCACTGACTGGGGAAATGGGCACAGTATGCACTGTGAGCCTGACACAGAAGCTGGCAGCAGTGGCAGACAACTAAGTGCAATTACATTACATAGAAAAATTTTTTTTTTAAAAGCATACCCTAACCCTAACCTAGCTATGCTTTTCCCTATCTAATGAACAGCAGCTACACTTTCCCTCCTCTTACTAAGCATGCAGCTTGAGAATGAATCTAAAATGGATGCCTTCCAGGAGGTGGGAGGGTCTGCTAGGGAGGGTGTGCTGCTAATTGGCTGGAATGTGTCTGCTGACTGTGAGGTACAGGGTCAAAGTTTACTCAATGATGACGAATAGGGGGCGGGTCGAACCGCGCATATGTTCGCCCGCCGAGGCGAACGCGAACATGGTATGTTCGCCAGGAACCGTTCGCCAGCGAACCGTTCGGTACATCACTAATATATATACAAAGTGAAAATACCGGCACTCAAGGTTTTCCAGAAGATAACTTCTCCATTTATTGCGGAAGAAAAATTCGACGTTTCAGCTCCACTGGGGAGCTTTCATTAGGACACAATTCCTGATGAAAGCTCCCCAGTGGAGCTGAAACATCGAATTTTTCCTCCGCAATAAATGGAGAAGTTATGTTCTGGAAAACCTTGAGTGCTGGTATTTTCACTTTGTTTATGATTAAGCCACCAGAGCACCAGGTACTATTTTTATTTCTCTAGTTGGAGTGCAGGGGTATTTTGTATTTTCATATATATATATATATATATATATATATATATATATAAATAGCTGAATCAAAGGTTGCACTCACGGATTCTTTAAAACATAGCTTTTATTATGTACTCCTAAAAAAATCGACGTTTCAGTCCTATTCAAGGACTTTCATCAGGATTATGAAAACATAGCATAACAATTTAGCCATATATAGGATGCAATGAATTACAAAAACTCACCACAGGTGCCATGAGGGGACCGGCGTCCCAGCCGGGAATGTGCGCATGTGCTGAGAAGCCCCTCCCCCTGAATGTGAATGTGAACTATGCATATTAATAAAGTGCTAATGAGTCATTTAAAGTGCAATCAAAGTCATCTCTTAAAGTGCTATATGCGTGCAAAATATTTAAAGTGCCACAGTGCTGATGTAAACATATTGTGATCCAATACAATTTATATAAATATTTATATTTAAATAACCCCAATGATTAAAAATTAATATTAATAAACTAATCAATCAAAAAAATATATGGTTATATGAGGCTTTTTTACATAACTTTTTTTCTTTCTTCTTTCTGCTCCTCTGTCACTCAACAAATATATATTTTCAAACAATTGTTGCAACAACACTATTATATTCTGCGTCAAAAAATATTGATCACATTTTAAAACAATAACTATTAATGCTTGCAAAAAATATATGGTCAATTGTATAATAAGAGGACGGTCGCAGGATAATCATGAAAAATGCATATAGAAAAACCTAAAATACACATGAATATAAAATCACATATTAGAAGAACATTAAGGGGCATTCAGGCCAAAAAAGAATGTAAAGACAAAGCTTCATTTAATCCTTTTGGAGACACAGTGTCCAACTCATGAATCCAATAAGCTTCTCTATTGAGTAGCATTCTCCCCCTATCTCCCCCTCTTCTAGGTATAGGGATATGGTCAATAGCCACAAATTTCAATGTAGCCAATGGATGCTTTAGTTCAAAGAAGTGTTTTGCAACCGGTTTATCTGAGGAACCGTCTCGATATGCCAGTCTAATAGAAGATCTATGTCCCCTGATTCGTTCGCAGATAGCCGTCTCCGTTTTCCCAATGTAGCATAAGCCACACGGACAAGACAATTTGTATATTACATGTGTCGTCTTGCAAGTGATAGTATATCGAATAGTATATTTTCTATTATTATGAGGATGAAAAAAAATTCTTGCAGGTGTCATGTGGCTACAGGTCACACAACCAAGGCAGCGAACAGATCCTCTTATTTGTTCCTTCGCTATGTTCAAATAGCTTTGAGAGGGATCCGTACGTACTAGCATATCTTTTAGGTTTCTATTTCTCTTATAACAGATTAATGGCTTTTCTTTAAACACTTTCGGGAGTGTGTCATCACTTGACACTATCCTCCAATTTTTCCTAATGACCGATGCCACTTGGGGAGTAGATTGGTTGTATACCATAGGGAAGACCAAGTTAAGAGGTTTCTTCTTTGTTTCGGTAGCGCGTGCATTCAATGCTTCTTGTAGCGCTGTTTCCAACATATATTCATCATAGCCTCTTTGAACAAATTTCTTCAAAGAGGCTATGATGAATATATGTTGGAAACAGCGCTACAAGAAGCATTGAATGCACGCGTGTTTCTTTAATGGCTGTGTGTTGAGTTATTTTGAGGGGACAGCAAATTTACACTGTTATCAAGGCTGTACGCTTACTACTTCACATTGTAGCAGAGTGTCATTTCTTCAGTGTTGTCACATGAAAAGATATAATAAAATATTTACAAAAATGTGAGGGATGTTCCCACTTTTGTGAGATACTGTATATGCCAGAATATGAAGATCACATACCGTTTTACACTGCTCACTTCTGAAATCTTCCACTACCAAGTTTCTGGGGAGTTAGGTTTAAGCCCTTATTATTGTCATAATGAAGCATGGCCACTAAAAAGAAGTGTCTTTGTCACTGCAATGTTCTGGTGCAAGTTGTGGCCAGGGAACATTAATTGTAATTGGATCAACAGCAAAATACAGATGTAAGGAAGGCTGAACTTGATGGACGCAAGTTTCTTTTTAGCTATGTAACTATGTAAATATGTAACTATGTTAGTAGTGCCATGTTTTTAATATATGTGCAAACAACATATTCTGCAATGCTTTACAGTTTTACAGTGGTAATACACGATACACAACATGAAGTAATTGCATATAAAATAAAATTAGGGTGAAGGTGGCCCTGCTCAAAAAACTTACAATCTAGAAACGTTTTAGTTTATTAGTACACAAAAATACAACAGAGAAATCATATGTTCAATGTATGTTAAAGGAACACTATAGTGTTAAGAATTCAAAACCTGTGTTCCTAACGCTATAATGCCTCTGTCCCTAGTTGTATATAGGTTCCCCCTGGCCCCCCTTTGTCCAATACTTTAAAAGTGCATTGGGAAGAGGTCCTAAGCATGACTTCTTCCGATATGATTTCCAACCCAACGCTCCTCACTCTATGCGTGGCAAGTACCATGTGTGCACCCAGTGCTTCATTAGGAAAACATTAAATCCATTGCTTTCCTGTGAGCTTCTGCACCATGTGACCATGTTTTTCAGGAAGGCAGTCATTAGAGGTGGATTTAACCCTGCAATGTAAACATGTAGTGTTAAACTGACAAGACTACTGCACCCAGACCACTTCTTGGAGTAACTATAGTGGTCCTTTAATGTATATTAAATCGCACTTATTTGAAGCTGGATGTCCTCACGGGCCTCCAGCGTCAAAAAAGATCCCCATAGGAAAGCGGGTTTGAAAGCGTGGTGCCACTGGACGCGCGTGCGCATTCGGCTCCACTTGGGAACTGACGTTGGTGGAGGAGGAAAGGTCACCAGTGCTGAGGGAGCCCGGCACTGGATTAAGGAAAGCAAATACATGGTTAATTAACCATTTATTTGCCATGGAACAGGGCCCTAGTCACCTTTTAGGTTTTATAATTTATATTCCTAACGCTATAGTGTTTCTTTAATGGCTGTGTGTGGAGTTATTTTGACGGCACCGCAAATTTACACTGTTATACAGGCTGTACACTTACTACTTTACATTGTAGCAGAGTGTCATTTCTTCAGTGTTGTCACATGAAAAGATATAATAAAATATTTACAAAAATGTGAGGGATGTTCCCACTTTTGTGAGATACTGTATATGCCAGAATATGAAGATCACATACCGTTTTGCACTGCTCACTTGTGAAATCTTCCACTACCAAGTTTCTGGGGAGTTAGGTTTAAGCCCTTATTATTGTCATAATGAAGCATGGCCACTAAAAAGAAGTGTCTTTGTCACTGCAATGTTCTGGTGCAAGTTGTGGCCAGGGAACATTAATTGTAATTGGATCAACAGCAAAATACAGATGTAAGGAAGGCTGAACTTGATGGACGCAAGTTTCTTTTTAGCTATGTAACTATGTAAATATGTAACTATGTTAGTAGTGCCATGTTTTTAATATATGTGCAAACAACATATTCTGCAATGCTTTACAGTTTTACAGTGGTAATACACGATACACAACATGAAGTAATTGCATATAAAATAAAATTAGGGTGAAGGTGGCCCTGCTCAAAAAACTTACAATCTAGAAACGTTTTAGTTTATTAGTACACAAAAATACAACAGAGAAATCATATGTTCAATGTATGTTAAAGGAACACTATAGTGTTAAGAATTCAAAACCTGTGTTCCTAACGCTATAATGCCTCTGTCCCTAGTTGTATATAGGTTCCCCCTGGCCCCCCTTTGTCCAATACTTTAAAAGTGCATTGGGAAGAGGTCCTAAGCATGACTTCTTCCGATATGATTTCCAACCCAACGCTCCTCACTCTATGCGTGGCAAGTACCATGTGTGCACCCAGTGCTTCATTAGGAAAACATTAAATCCATTGCTTTCCTGTGAGCTTCTGCACCATGTGACCATGTTTTTCAGGAAGGCAGTCATTAGAGGTGGATTTAACCCTGCAATGTAAACATGTAGTGTTAAACTGACAAGACTACTGCACCCAGACCACTTCTTGGAGTAACTATAGTGGTCCTTTAATGTATATTAAATCGCACTTATTTGAAGCTGGATGTCCTCACGGGCCTCCAGCGTCAAAAAAGATCCCCATAGGAAAGCGGGTTTGAAAGCGTGGTGCCACTGGACGCGCGTGCGCATTCGGCTCCACTTGGGAACTGACGTTGGTGGAGGAGGAAAGGTCACCAGTGCTGAGGGAGCCCGGCACTGGATTAAGGAAAGCAAATACATGGTTAATTAACCATTTATTTGCCATGGAACAGGGCCCTAGTCACCTTTTAGGTTTTATAATTTATATTCCTAACGCTATAGTGTTTCTTTAATGGCTGTGTGTGGAGTTATTTTGACGGCACCGCAAATTTACACTGTTATACAGGCTGTACACTTACTACTTTACATTGTAGCAGAGTGTCATTTCTTCAGTGTTGTCACATGAAAAGATATAATAAAATATTTACAAAAATGTGAGGGATGTTCCCACTTTTGTGAGATACTGTATATGCCAGAATATGAAGATCACATACCGTTTTGCACTGCTCACTTGTGAAATCTTCCACTACCAAGTTTCTGGGGAGTTAGGTTTAAGCCCTTATTATTGTCATAATGAAGCATGGCCACTAAAAAGAAGTGTCTTTGTCACTGCAATGTTCTGGTGCAAGTTGTGGCCAGGGAACATTAATTGTAATTGGATCAACAGCAAAATACAGATGTAAGGAAGGCTGAACTTGATGGACGCAAGTTTCTTTTTAGCTATGTAACTATGTAAATATGTAACTATGTTAGTAGTGCCATGTTTTTAATATATGTGCAAACAACATATTCTGCAATGCTTTACAGTTTTACAGTGGTAATACACGATACACAACATGAAGTAATTGCATATAAAATAAAATTAGGGTGAAGGTGGCCCTGCTCAAAAAACTTACAATCTAGAAACGTTTTAGTTTATTAGTACACAAAAATACAACAGAGAAATCATATGTTCAATGTATGTTAAAGGAACACTATAGTGTTAAGAATTCAAAACCTGTGTTCCTAACGCTATAATGCCTCTGTCCCTAGTTGTATATAGGTTCCCCCTGGCCCCCCTTTGTCCAATACTTTAAAAGTGCATTGGGAAGAAGTCCTAGGCATGATTTCTTCCGATATGATTTCCAATCCAATGCTCCTCACTCTATGCGTGGCAAGTACCATGTGTGCACCCAGTGCTTCATTAGGAAAACATTAAATCCATTGCTTTCCTGTGAGCTTCTGCACCATGTGACCATGTTTTTCAGGAAGGCAGTCATTAGAGGTGGATTTAACCCTGCAATGTAAACATGTAGTGTTAAACTGACAAGACTACTGCACCCAGACCACTTCTTGGAGTAACTATAGTGGTCCTTTAATGTATATTAAATCGCACTTATTTGACGCTGGATGTCCTCACGGGCCTCCAGCGTCAAAAAAGATCCCCATAGGAAAGCGGGTTTGAAAGCGTGGTGCCACTGGACGCGCGTGCGCATTCGGCTCCACTTGGGAACTGACGTTGGTGGAGGAGGAAAGGTCACCAGTGCTGAGGGAGCCCGGCACTGGATTAAGGAAAGCAAATACATGGTTAATTAACCATTTATTTGCCATGGAACAGGGCCCTAGTCACCTTTTAGGTTTTATAATTTATATTCCTAACGCTATAGTGTTTCTTTAATGGCTGTGTGTGGAGTTATTTTGACGGCACCGCAAATTTACACTGTTATACAGGCTGTACACTTACTACTTTACATTGTAGCAGAGTGTCATTTCTTCAGTGTTGTCACATGAAAAGATATAATAAAATATTTACAAAAATGTGAGATGTACTCACTTTTGTGAGATACTGTATATCAAAGGACTGTACCAATAAGTCCTTAGAGTACCATTTTTATTTAGTGTGGATTATCTGCTAAACTTTGCACTGGGCCGAATATTATTGTAGTCGGCAAGCACCAACGTTTGTGCATGTTATCATGATATACATATATTTGTGGTAGGGACATAAAGGCCGTAAACTGTAAGGGGATCTGTGATTACTAATGGCAGGCCTGCATAGTTAACACATTAACATAAGAGACTATAATGTTATGTAAAGACTGCTGTTCAGGGATACCTGTAAAATGTCAATTGCATGACATTTTTTTAAAATAATATTGATTCATAGATATTATCTTCAGCAACACTGTAATTTCAGCCTAGACAGGTTCAATATAGCTGACAATCCTGGAACGGAGGTACTAAAATGTATTTCTTTTCTCTGTAAAGGCCAACACAAATTGTTGAGGTGAAAGAGGGAGATGTTTATTAAAAAATGTAAATGAAAATATAACCAAACCCACTGAGTTGGTAGGGAGATGGTTAGTAGATTTTTTCACCTGCATTACTTTGTAATTGTACATGTGCATGACATTCATGTACTTAAAAACTTGCTAGAATAATAATAATTATTATTATTAATTAATTAATAATAATGCAAACCCTAAAATTATTTTTTCTAAAAAGGATTTGTTGTGTAGAAGATTCAGGATCCTCAATTTGGCCTTAGGGGTTCATA